TTCTATATTATTATCTGTTTTGGAAGGAGGGAATTCACTTACTGTGCTTCATACTTATAAGGGCCAATATTATTTTAGTATTTGGGTGATGAAAGAATATGGTGTTGTGGAGTCATGGACTAAGGTGTTTCGATGTGATTTTAAACGTTATGGGGGCATCTCAACTGTATTAGCTCTTAGCAACAGTGGAAAAGTGGTTCTGAGACCTATTGGTGAAGCCATGGTTTTACTAGATCCAATGAAAGAATCAGTGAAGCCTTGTGATGGATGGGCTTAATATTAATAAGGATTTGGGCCATAAAGAAGAGACTAATGGGCCAGCTACATATAATGGGCCAAGAAAAACTGGAGTAGGTTAAAGAAAGAAGTGAGATAATGAGAATAAATAGAGATGGAAAAAGGTTTCGGGGCATGAAGAATTTTGTGAAGCCTCTCCTCTCTGACACGTCTCTTCTACCCTCTGGCCATTGTCACTGTGACTCTGGAATTTCTTCTTTTCCGCAATTTCTATTCCTTCTGCAACTCTGTGGCTTTCCCTTCTCTAAGTTTCCTGTTTCTATCATTTTAGATTCTGTAATTTTCACTTAATCAGGTTGAAATGGTGTATTTAGACTTAAAATTTCTATTAAACAGGGGCTAGTAGTGTTTTTATAATCTGAGTAAACCCTGAGTTCGTTACAAGCCTTTGGGAGTTCAACAAAATTTTCAAGCTTTTGATGGATCTTATGTTGAGAGTTTGTTTTTCTTTCAAAAACAAAGAGCCTGATGTTTTACCTTACTAACAATTATGAAAGATATATAGTAGAGGCAATGTTGTCAGATGGATCGATTCTGCTATAGCTACTTTCTTGCCATGGAAGCGTTAGATTTAGACCAAATGTTTGGTCTTATATTTCTTGTTCTCTTGAAGTCATTTTCTTCCCTGAGCCTCCATTTTTAGCTACCAAGTAGTTAAGGAGAGTTTATATTGCGCTCAATGTTCAGTGGTTGCTGATAAGTTTAAATCAAAAAATGCTTATTTTGCACCTTGTCTTTTGCTACACAGTATATTTTTCCTTAGCTAACTTACATGTCTCCAAGCACTTGTGATTTGTGGTATCTATAGATAATATTTAAGTTTTTATGACGGCCACTATTGTTTAATTCAATATAAAGCCTTAGTTACTGTTTGAATAGAATAGCTGTAGGGAGGCCCCACAACCTGAATTTCCTTTGCATGAGCCTTCATTGGCTTGTCTTTATGAATAAAGTCATCTATAAAATAGAACACATTTTAAGAGGGTTGGGAACAATTACTTCTCCCTCCAATCTTATTTATTGATCATTTAAACCAATCTCATCAACATCAATAAAATAAAATACAAAGAATAATTGTAAAGGAAATCTCAAAACTAACTCTCAAGTGAAAAAGCAAAAAAGTAATCTAATCAATATAGAATTATTTTTCTTGTACTTCTCTCTCATATTTTACAAAAAAAGTTACTCTCTTTACAGTGAAAAAGATACTTTCAATTTTTCTTTATAATGAAAAATGTTAAATAAGTAAAGGTGTTTTGGAAATTTTATTTTGAAATGTAAAGTCATCATTAACTAGTGACTAATATTATGGTCTATATTTTTCTTTTAGAACGTGACCAATATAATGGATCGGAGGGAGTATTTTAAACCTCACAAATCATGCTCGTTATGACTCTTAAGTCTCAAAACTACTACTAAGCCTCGTCATCCAATTAGCTTGAATCAAAGAGGGAGTAGAAGAATTGTGCCATGGAAGAGCACTCATTATGCTATAAACTCTTGGTCCATCCAAGTGTTGGATTTAGTCTCCAAATCACCATGTATGCTTCATAAGCTTTGTTCTTCTTTTCTCCTTGTTCAACATAACCGATCAGTTTCTTGAATAGTGAGAGTCTGGTATCTCTTGATTGTAAGAGCATATGATCTTTGTTAGGGGTTTGGTCGTAACTAGCAAAAGCTAGAATTTAGATTAAGATTATAACATCTTGTTAATTTCAAAAGATATTTGCACTTCAATCTTTTAGGCTGTGTTTGATTTAAGGGGTGGGTGGAAAGTGTTAGGCTCGTAGAATAAATTCATATCCCTTTGAGTCTTATTAGCCATGGTGTTGCTTGAGGTGCCTTGGATGATATTATCCCTATATTTAATTATTAAGAAATTTTATTTTGAGTCTTTATACTTTATTTGAATTTTGTTATAGGTTTCAGTATTTTTTCGTGTTCTAAATTCCTACATTTTTTTTCAGTGTTATAAGGACCTGAAATATAAAAAAAAATATAGAGACCTATAAATAAATTCGAGTAAAATGCAGAAATTCAAAATTATATTTTTCTTTAATTCTTCTTAGTTTTTTGTTTGGCCTGAAATTCTTTTTAGTAATGAGAACATAGAATGAGTATTGTTAAAAAGTATGAGATGATTACTGAAATTTTTGAAAAATTAATGATTGAAAATATTAAAGATGAATATTGCAAACGAGGAGGATGACTCCTGAAAATGTAGAAGATGAGCAGTCGTCCTCCGTCCTCCACATGCTCAAAACACATCTTTAATCTTTTTAGTGCTCAATTTTTCAAGCGGTAACTTTTTATGCTTTTAATGCTTATTTTCTATGATTTCAATAATAAAAAAATTTGTCTTTAATTCTTTTACTTTTTTAGAAGATGGATATTGAAAACATTTAAAGTGATTACTTAAAAAAATAGAAAAATTGATTATTGAAAATGCTAAAAATAACTTCTAAAAATGTGATGAAAATACAGAAGATGAGTACTAACAAAATTTAATTAAAAAAATTTTAGGTTAAAATGTATTTTCGATCTTTTAATTTTACATAAGGTTTTAGTTTAATACCTTAAATTTATAAAGTATTTTTTTAATCATCTAACCTTAGTATCGTTAGTCTTAAATAATTATTTTTATATAAATTAAACTTAACATATCAATATTTAAAAATATTTTATCAATATTTAAAAGTTAAATGGAGGAATTTTTTGTAAATAAAACTATTAATATTATAGTTAAATGATTAAAAAGATATTTTATAAAATTAAAAAACTAAAATGAAATTTTGTACAAAGTTAAGAAACTAAATGTGTACTTTAACAAAAATTTTAATTGCATAAACACCAGGATTTTTTTCCTAAATTTCAAAATTTTAGAATCTTGTTATGAAACTATAAGAAATATAAAAGAGATTCAAGATGAAAGAAATCAATAAGACAAAATTAGAGAGAAAGGAGTAGTGATATTTATTTACTTAAGTATCTCAAAAGGATAGTATATAGCTTCTATTTATAAGCCTCCAACTCTACAAAAGAGTTCAAATTTTATAAATAAAAAAAATTATTCTACATTATTGTAAAGCATAAAATCATTGTAGATTATGCAAGTAAATATTAGAAAATCACCCGTTTATGAGTTATAGGGTAAATGACATTAACATGAGGCGAAATTCCAAGAGGTTATGGAGTTATAGATTCATAACAAACCTTCAATAGTAATTAATATTTTCAGTAGGTCCTTAAATATCATTTCCCCCATTAAATTAGAGTAGTTATTAAGTATTAAATCGTTTTCAGTGTTGCGTGGATCTCATCCAACCACCAGTCCAACAAATAGGAAACAAAACCGAACCACTTGCTCTGGCTCAACTGCAAAGCCAAGAAAGATGTCTCACAAAATGGTTAGTGCCGGCGAAGAACTCACTTAAGGCGTAAACTTTACGGCTAATTCATTTCCATTATCATTGTTATCATCATCATTTTGTAAAAAGGCCAAGTTCATTTCCACCATGAAACAATAAAAACTAACAAATTTTTAAAAAAGCAATAAAATATCTTCTAAACAGCTTTTAATAAAAATTTTCGTTTTCATTTTCATGCCAATAAAATTTTTATTCTTTTAAAAATATATATTATTTTTTCCTTTTATTCTTAGTGCTAATTACTTATGGTGAGGTAAACAAAGTCATAAATTCATACCAGAATCTGGGTTAGTAAATGCAATGGATAAAATGAGATTTTTTTTTTCTTTTAACAAGTAGTATGTTGCTTATATTTTGGACCAATATTAGTTAGAAGAAAAAAAATTATATTTTGGACCACAAGGAGTACTCTCTCCGTTAAAAAATATAATGTATTTTTAATCAAATCTTACCCCCTAATAAAGTAGTTATCTACTTTTTAACTAATCCTATCTTTTCATATTTACCCATATTAAACACCCTATAATAAATATAAAGTTATTATCAATAGGGGCATTTTTGAAAAATAACAATGATTATAACTCAAAAGATTAAAAATGCTTACATTTTTAAATATTCAACTTCTTAAAAAATACTTTATATTTTTTAATGGAGGGAGTATATTATATTATTATTTTTGGTATACCAAGGAGTATATTATATTACAAAAAAATAATAAAATTTTTAGTTCTTTAAATTTTCCTTAATAATTAATCTTATTTCTTAAATTTAATTAATTAAAATTAAGTCTTTTATATTTTTTTAAATTATCATGTTAGTCTTTAAGGTTTAAAATACAAATTAAATATAAATTAATCTAATATGTAAAATATATTAATAACTTAACATGCATATATAGTTAAATAAAAATAAATTAATTCTAAAATCAGATTAATTTTTATATATCTAGCTACTTATACTACATTTCATTTGTTTAAATTTTTAGTATGTTTTGTGCCTAAATAATAATATATATTTTTATCAATCTACATGTCAGTAAATTTTAACAATATTAATTTTTTTAAATAATAACAATTAAATTGATATTTGAAATAAATTTAACAAATAAATTGATAAAATTAAATTGAATTTGAATTACCCGATGCTTGGTGATCCTATGGAGTTTAGACAGAGCTGTAATTGTAAATTATAATTATAAAAATTATAATTAATTATAATATAATATTAAATCCACGTTCGGCTAGTCAATTAAGCCAGACGATAATGACTCCTTTCCTGAACTACTGACGTTTGACTCTACCCGTAACTCCATGCTCACGTTCTGAACGTTTCCGTTCTCCGAACGCTTGAATTTCAGCTTCTCCAACAACCACCGACCTGGCCTCTCTCTCTCTTCTTCGCTCTTTTTCCAGATCTCTTCCTCTCTCTTTCTGTCGTTTTCTTCCATTCTATGGCTGTCGCCGCCGCCGAAGCCGGCGGCATGAGTGAACCGCAGACTCAGCGTATGGATGCCTCGCCTTCGGGATCACTCTCCGGCATACCATCGTCGTCCGCTTCGCCCTCTAATGGTCTTGATCGGAGCCAGTCTAGCAATTCTTTGCAGAACCCTCGTCAAGATGCTGAAATTGATGAGGTGCTGAGCTTATTATTACACGAGTTTTTTTTAAGGCGGTTTTTTGCTGATGCGTAATTCTTCTGGATGGCTGAGGTCCTTTGAATGGATTAATTTTGTGTTTGGTTGCTGAGTTGCGTGTTTCTTTTGCGGTTTTGAATATCAGTCTCCGGACGTATTGAAGAGCGAAGAGTATCGTCAATTGTTTCGCCTTCCGCCGGAGGAGGTGAGTATTTTCAACCTTGATGAGCGCCGGTCTTTTCTGATTATAATTGTAATATCTTTTTAGGTGGATTTTCTGTTGGCTGATTGTTAATGCCATTCTGTGTTAAGATTGAAATTTAAGTGACTTGGAAAAAAGCAATCTCTGTGACTTGTGAAATTTGCATCTTCTTTCAGAACTAATGCAATTGTACTTATTAATGATACTTTATGACTCTTGTCATTTGGTTTGGTCATGTCATCTTTCCATCATTTGTTTCCTTTTCATGATTAGAGGATAAAACCTTTCCATTCTCGTCACAGAGGGCAAAAGAGTTCAAAAGAATAGACTCTGTCCTTGAACGTGAATGAGTGCTGAAGTTTGTGCTTTTTGGCTAGATTTTGTTTGATAAGTGTGTTTATATATAATGTTGTGTACCATAGTTGAGAAGTTTCTGAAATTTCCTGTGGTTGTTTGGTATTGAAGAAACTATTTATTCTTTATTGATTTTCATTTATTTTTTAGGTCCTTATTGAAGATTTTAACTGCGCCCTCCAGGAAAATATATTAATTCAGGTAGTTTTTACATTGGTTGAAAGTTGTTGCTGGAGCATGATTTGTTGCTCACGTTAATATTTCATTGCATTGTGTTGCTGTGGATATCTCTGTGCTACATTTTTAGAGATATACCAGCGATATGTTCTTGTTTTTATTGTTAATCTTTTCTTTCTTTGTTTTTTTGTTTTGTAGGGTCATATGTACCTGTTTGTAAATTTTATTTGTTTTTACTCAAACATATTTGGGTTTGAGACAAAGGTACGCTACTTAAACAATTTTTGGCTATTAATTTGTGCTCATATTGCATGTATTCTTGAAGTGAATTTGTGTTTATGGTTTTATAAACATTCTGGTTGTTAGCCATAGGATGAAGTATAAGACACTTACTTGTCTTACAAGCTTGTTTGAGGTTCAAGTTTGCCCACTTAATGGGGATCTTTTCTTAAGTTGTAGACAGAGAATTTAATTTCATCTTCATGTTAGTCCTTCTGATGATGATAGAGCACAATGGCGTCATGCAATTTATGTAGCCGACTCCCCCTAGTGGGTTAAGGCTTGTTGTTGTTATTGTTAGTCCTTTTGATATATCACTCTCCATAAATGTCTAGAATGTCCATATAAGTTTATGAATACATAAATGTCCAGAGGATTTTTCCAGTTACACAGCCTAGTCAGGTAACTGAATAAGCTTTCAGCTGGTTTACTTGGTTGTGGTTGGGATTTTCCTAGATTCTAGTTGGCATGCATTGTGCTTTGGAAGGGATCACTTTTCATGGTCTGTAATACGGTCACTGTATGATTTCTGCAGTCACTGCTTTTAATTCTCACTCTTGGTGTTTATTGCTTTCTATAAATTTTGATGGTTTAATGATATAGAGAGTAATCCCACTTGATGAAGTAACCAGTGTACGGAAGGCAAAAACAGCAGGACTCTTTCCTAATGCCATTGAAATTTTTGCTGGAGGCAAGAAGGTATGCTGTATGATCAAAGTGCTAGCCTTGCATTTGGCTTTTGATTTGTCAATCAGCCCCATAATGTTTTACTACGCTTGTATAATTGGCAGCATTTTTTTGCATCCTTTCTGTCCCGCGATGAAGCATTTAATATCATTAATGATGGGTGGTTGCAACATCGCAATGCTGCCAAAGCCAGTACTGAGCAGCAGGTTAATTAAAAACTATGTTGATCCTTGATGCCTAATGTTTATAATTTTGTGAGGGTTAAATGACTTGGGAGCACATACATTTATTTCTACATAGGCAGTGTGATATGCTATTGGAAATAAAAGTTACCAGCCAGTATATTAATTTGTTGCCAGATTATGGACAAAGCAGCAAATAGGTTGAGAATGAGGAGGATGTCATGATTATTGGGTATTTTATATATAATTTACCACTTTTGCTGCGTTTAAAAGTTTTTTCATATTTAGAATGTTGGTGTGTCGGATGTAAATTTTTTTCAATTCTGGACAAGGCTTGGATGTTGGATGTGTTTTGGATTTGGATTTCTAAAATAATGATTGGCTACCCGTCCACTAAAATGCCTATCTGTTAAGATCCATTTGCATCAGTTTTCACTTATTTGAGCTGACAAGTCCTATTTAGTATGATATGAACTCCCTCAATGCATGCATTATTATTTTGTTAATTTTCTGGTTCAAGAATAACATGGCAGTTCATTTTTGTTTGGAGGATTGGAAAAAAGTAGAGTGATTTTTTATAGGTCAAGTTCAACTAATGCCAATACTTGCTTTGCCTTCTGATAGAATCTTGCATTCCCAGAAAGATTGTAGAATGTCAATTAATTGGATATTATGCGTTACCTTCAGGAAGCAATATCTGAATCTAGCAGCCAAGAGAACGGATTTATAGCTATTGAAAAAGCGAACAATTCTGAGATCCTAGACAATGAATCACTCGCTACCAATCTGTATGCTTATGATGATTAAATTGTCGCTTTAGAATGCTTTGATTTAATGTGGGACTCATCAAGGGTTTACTTATGTGTGGGAATCAGGAGCAAAGATAATTCCAGCCAAGACAATGAATCCATGGAAGTTTCAGAGCAGCAATCTGGTGTAACTGATGTTACAGAAACTGTATCAAACAACGCTGATTTAGGAGCTACCTGGAATTGGAAGGAAGAGAATATTGATGCTCCAAAAAGTGAGTTTGGGTCATTCTTCTTGTTCACAATTGAGGTGAAGGCACATGAATGGTTTATTGTTCTATGATTTGTTTATGAGAGAAAATGTTTCTATGTCATTTTTTCCCACTTTTTTGAATTGCTGAATGAATGTCTATTATAGGTTAGGGAAAGGTCTGGTTACCATATAATATTTGCAGAAAAAGGAAAAATTTTACTCTCTTATTGCTTCACGGATGTGGAGTATAGCCATGACATTATGACAACCATCATTACTGAAATTTGTACAGCAGAAGGGTTGTATTTATTTCAAAAATTCAGAAGTTACCTGTGAAATTGTATTGCAAATATTTTGTGCAAGAAGCTGTGCTAGTTAAAGAGACCAAATCAAGAAATTAGGTTATAACTTGTTTGTTGGCTATTAACTTTTTATCTCCTGTGGTTCAAGTTTGCTACAAATATCCTTTTTCCTTTTCCCTTTTCCCGTCTTCTTCTTCTTCTTCTTTTTGGAACTATTGCTTTCTTGCACAGTCCAGCTAAAAGGGTGTTATTCTCATATTGGCCTTAGGGTTAAGGTGCAAAAACACCCATAAACTTTTTCTCCAAGAGTTTTTGGTATTCTTAAGTCAGCAATGATGCATGGGTACCCATTAATTTTATAAAAGAGGCCAACCTCCTTGGCCTTATGATGTACTTTCCTTGTATAGACATTCATATATTCATGTGCGTATTATCATGAAAAGAAAATAAATTGTATTTACTATTGTAGCATATATAGTTGAGAACTTTCAGGTTAGAAAAGTGTAATTAATTCTGTAATATGAAATAATATGCTTGACATTTGGAAATAAAGGTGATTTATTGCCTTGTGGCCATGTCTGAATTTCAATTTCATCTCTATGGTTCAACCAACTTCATTGAAAGTTTATGTTATGGATGATATGTCACAATGAGGAAGGTTTCCTTTTTAATGTTAGGAGTAAAGTCCTTATTCCTTTTTCTTCTTTCTCTGTAAGACATGTTTGGTTGCAATTATCAGCACTGGAAATTGCTATTAACCATAGAGTAGTTATGGATAGGAGGAATAGTTTGATGAAGGACTTAAAGAAATTGGAATAATTGGTGGGAAGGCAACTTCTTGTTTTGTGTGAATTCAGCGGATATATCTTATATGTTATTTATTAAGTGTCTGGACTAGGTGTTTCTCAGGATAATTCAGCTTAGAGCAGCCCTTTGAGGAAGAGGAAATTTAGAATTCCATTTAACTGTTGTATGAAGAAAACAAGCTTCATGACCTGTTGGTTTTACGGATGTGGTTACTTCTGGCATTGTTGGATATAGACAGAGAAGGCACTATTTAGGAGATTGATGGGTTTCAATGTGATAGGCAGTTAGTGTTAATAGTAATCCTTGTGCTGAAGAAAAGTAGGTCCATCAAGTGAGGGGTTGCGCAGGGGTGTGTGTGTGTGTGTGTGTTTTTTTTTTTTTTTTAAGTTGTCTTAAGGTCCTCTTTGTTAGGTTAGTGCTGTAATATTTGAGACTTTATGAAGTTTATTACTGGAAGGGAATTCTTGGATGCAACATCAGCAGCATGATTTTTCTGTTTATTGAAGGATGGGAAGAAGTTTACAAACCATTCATGTTGGGATTTCATCGTAATTTATTTTCAAGTTTTATAACATGCTTTGAAAACTAATGCAGTTCTCCTGTGCATTTATTGAAATCTACAATGATGAAAATCTTCATCTGATTTAGAGCTTGTTGGATCATGAAGAAGGATCACCATGCTTATTCCATGCTTTGTTATGCAGCATAATAAATTGTGTGCTGCAAGCATATTGGCTTATGTATTTTAACAGGATACTATTATCCAATGTTTTATAGAATTTTAGCTTTGCAGATTAATGCTTTATTATGAATTGCAAATAATTGGTTGTTCAGAGAAATATTGTATGCTTGCAAGATCAAGATACACTGTCTATCTATCTATCTATCTATACTATGAATGTTGTAGTGTGCTGTGTTTTTGGTTTAACTACTTTGTCCTTATGATTCTTGGTATCTTTGCTGTTATATAATGCTTTGATCTTGTTTATGCCTTTGCAGTACCGGAAGCTTATACAAATGTTGCAGAATCAAAGTTTCCGGTAATTTGTGTTACAAATAGAAAGTTACTAAAAGATTACCCTATATCTGTTGATGTTAAATATAATCCACACCAGGACTCCCTTTGGGGTGAAAGTGTATGGATTTCTTTCTTGATGTTCAAGTAACCTGTGTCCTTGCCCTATATGGAATTGATTTTTGCGATGCACTACCGTATTGTCCAGCAGTCTGTAGAAAATACTTGAGTGTGTGTATAATGATTTTAAATTAGAGGTGGCTGAGATTCTCAGAGTAGTTTTCCAAAACACTGAAGTCGTATTTGGTATGGATGAAAGAGGTTTCAAGAAAGCAAGAGTGGAGAGAGAATTCGTTATTTTGATATTTTTTGTACATGTTATTAAGTTACCAAGAAATTGATGCTTCCTTCATACAATGCAAATAAGCCTCATTTACTTGGCACCAAGGAAAGTTGCTTTCTATCAAGAACAAAAAATGCATTGCCATGCCCCCCTAATTTATAAAATGTTTTGACTATTTTTTTTTGAATTTTTCAAAATAAGTATTTTTATATAAGTATTTAAATATTTAAATGTTATTTCTCGTAAAAAAAAATATTAACCTCCTATTTTATATTAAAATAGTTCCCATGATTTTGAAAATTCAACTTAAATGTTTATGTAATACTTGCATGTACTGATTAATAGTTGAAACTAACGTGTAAAAAAGTTTGTCTGAACCTTCTGATTTACAAATTGCAGATAAAGGTGGAGGACTTCTTTAGGTACTTTTTATCAGACGACGCTGTTAATTTTCATGAGTTGTTTCATGAAAGATGTGGAGATAAAGGTAGCCTGCTTGAATCTTGTATTACCTTTTCATCTTAATTAGCTTTTGGAATATTAATTTTTTGTTGCTGATCTTGTATTATTTATTTTAAGTAAGGTAAGGAATAAAGAATACATAGTCTTTCAAAGCCTTATACTTTTGGTATGTATGATGGTTACTTTCAGACTTGAAGTGTACTTCATGGCAGTCTCAAGAAGTTGGGTATACCCGGGAAAAGTCATTTCAACATCCAATAAAACTTTACCTTGGTATGCATCACCTGCTTCTATTTTAAACAATCAATAATACAAAGTTCCTTGTTTTTGCCTGTTTCACTTTTTCTTTTTGCAATTATATTTTCATGTTTCTCATGTAATTTTGAATCCTTTTAAGGAGCGAAATTTGGTGGTTGTCATGAAGTTCAGACACTGCGAATCTACAAGAACAGGTTGTAGCTATGCTGTTGCTTGTCAATCTCCTAATGTTTATCTTTGATTTCTCTTCTCTCGTTCATCTGGGAAGAGAGTTAAGTCTGCACTTAAACACTGAACTTATGTGCAGTTTGATTTTAACATTCTTGGGGCTAAATGAGTTTTTGACAGGGGCTAAGTTTAGGGAAAGTTATGGGGATGCTAGGATGGATGTCCCTGGTAGAGGTGAAGTTTAAGAACATAATCAGGTAGGCTTGGGTTATCCTTACAAAGTGGCTTAATAGAGTTATTGAAGAGGGGTTCAGGAGATGTGAAATTGACATTGATGCTCGGTGTATTGAAAACATGAAGAAAATATCTGTTGAGCTATTTTGCAGCCTCAAAAAAACAGGAAGTGGTGTCAGTGTCTATGCAATATTGCAACATATTGGAATCATGTGAATTGCCACATTCTTCATATCACATATCGCCTACTGATTGGGGAGAGAGGGGGCACGGGTGTACAAGTAGTGGAAGAGAGGAGGAAGATTCTTGTTAAATACTGCCTCAGCTCCCATATATAGGAATAACTAGTTAACTAATTCACATAGATTAAGGAAATTAGGTAAGTTAGTTATATGTAAAAAGATGTATGCTAGTTTTCCTAAATTACCGCTCCTTTTAATAATTTACATTAGAATATTATTAATGTAGCTAATTCTTCATACAAAACTCTAACTATAGGGGTAGTTTGGAAAAAAATAAGAAATATAGGAGACAAAGGAGATTGAGGTCTTGCATTTGGGTCCAAAACAAACCCCCCAACTAGCTCCTACATTCAGGATCGGAGTCATTGTTGAGTTAATTTGGGATTTTCTTCATCATGATCTAGTTAAGGAGAATGTTACAGGATGTTTTTCTTCTCTGCTGAGTAATAGTTCTGTATGCTTGGTTAAATTATGACTGAGTTTGCTCTTATATTATTTTAAAATCTATATTTTTGTGTTCTTTTTTAATATAAATATTTTTTTTGAAGTGAAGTTACTGTAATTTTGCATTGAGTAGTTGAAATATATGGGGAAGCATTTGAATCACTTTATTTGTTTTCTTGACATTGTACTTTTTTCTTCATTCAGTCATGTGGTTTTAGAGACATCACAAGAAGTCAGTGGCGTACCTTATGCAGATTATTTCCGTGTTGAGGTAAGCTTCTGTAAACTTCAATGCATATAATCAGAAATTTTCTGTAACTCTAAGCCATACTAGATTCTTTTAGAAGAAAAACTAGTTTTTCAGATTATGTTGTCCAGTTGTAAAACCTCTTTCATTATCATTAAATGCACCTAAACGGAGATCTGATTTCTTCCACAAAAATGCAACAAGGAAGCTGCATTTAGGGAATATAGATGGCCTCAAGGAGAAATAAGTGCTTACTTTTTACATGACCAAGGAGCTGGCAAGCTCCTGCGAGTGTGCAAGACAAAGCTTTTTTAGTACTTTTATCAAAGTTGACTAGTCTCCTCGCTGGTCTGCTGTGAGCTGTCAGTAATCTGAAATGTCTGATCATGTTTCTAGGTGATGAGAACAGGGGAGAGAAGTAGATCCAAACTCCATAGTTTATTCAAATCATAAAAAACATCTAACAATCTCACCATAGGGCTTATTTATGGAACCCTAAGTTCTATTATTCAAATAATAAAAGTAATCTAAACTAACCTTGCTAAAATAAGATCATCCTACATAAGATACGGCACTAGGATAAATCTTATAAATCCCAATCCAACTATAATTATTTAAAAAATAATCTTAAAATACTGAAATTAACTTTAAAATTTAAAATAATCCTAATTCTTTTTCCCATCATTTCTCCTTGTCTGAAGAGTAAAACTAGTGATAAAACTCCAAGAAGGCAAGACGTAGGATGTTATATCATCATAATTCTGATATAGGGAGAAATGAAAAGAATAACAGAGAAGGTAGAAGAGATAAAGAGGAATTAGAGAGAAAAAGAAACAGAGGGACAAGAGGATTCGGCTGAATGGTGCACAAGCTTCATGGATAATTCATAATGATTACAATTGACTTGTAGGGTATTTATAGAAATAAGGATACCCCCAACAGCTACTAACAGTCTACCTATTAACAGCCGTATCTCTATTAACAGTTATAACTAACCAACTAACAATAACAGCAACTAATATTTCAATATTATGATTATATAACAATACCCCCCTCCCAAGAGACTTTTGTCCTCAAAGGTCATGTATAGCAATTTGAGGGAACCTTGTTGAAATATTGGAAAAAGAGCATTAAACTTTTAGAAGCTACTGTTCATTGTTTAAGCTACTGTTCACAGTTACTGTGCGCTGTCATTGGTTACTGTTGATTCTGAATAAATGGAAATAATGAGCACCATGCTTGAACCCAAAAGCATTTTTAGTAATCCTCCTCTGTGCCATAGAAGAACAAACAAGTGGGTTGGGAGGAGTTGAAGACAAAGAAAAGCCCAATAAGACAGATTTTTCAATGGGTTGATTGTCATGCCTTTTGAGTGGCATTGGGCCCATGCAATTATCCCAATTCAAAAGCTGGTACAAGTTCAATAAGGATAAAAGGTATAGCTTTTGCATTTGAAGTTTCCACCTACATGACAAAATGGGTTTTGACTTTTCAACCTTTATAGGACCTAGCCACGTGGCGTTTTGAATAGAAAAATCAGGGAGTAGTTCCTTTTTCTTTCTTGAAACTTGAACCCATGTATTGACCATCGGTGTTACCTGCCATCCACTTAAACTACACCCACTTGATATGGAGGATAGCTGTCTTTGACCCATGCAGCCACGTGTGTAGACAAAAAACCCACTGAAGCTTACTCTCACATTCCCTTCCTGTTGTGAAAAGTTCACCCAAGTCCTGTAGCTGTGAGAAGTCTAGAGTCTTTAAATGGGCATGTCCCATGCACACACTAATGAGAGGACAAAATGTGGTAGTGGTGATGGAGCAAACAACCACGGGGCGTTTGGAGTTACAGAATTAGACTGCAATGGGGAAACCAGAGGAGACAACAACGGTGACACCCTAGAAACAAGAGACAGCAATGGAGAAGCTTGTGGCGGTGGCAGAAAAACAGAAATAGGTAATGATGGGTTGATCAGAAATAGAGGCAAAGAGAAAGTTGGAATAGAGGGTGACAGTGGCTCTGTAAGTGGGCAACACTGAAGTTTTGAACAGTGTTGGGTATCCAAACTCAAGTCAAGACTGATGGTTTTACCCACACCAGCAGTGAAAGAGCTTGAGAAGTCATGGTTAGAGATGCTCGAGCCTACTTCACCTTCCGACTTGTGCAAAGAAACCTTCTTGAAATCACTACCATCAACTTGCAGTTCTTTTACTCAACTTCAATGTCAATTGTTCTAGCTGCGGGATCCCCATGATTTCCAATGCCATTTTTGGCTTGCTGATTCCCACAATCTTGTTGAGGTGTACTTCCTTCATCCCTTTCTAAAACCTCCTGTGACCTATAATCATCTTGAAGTGCCCATGGCTTCTCTTCTGCCTTATGCATTAGCATGATTTCTTGCATTCTTGCAAGGCTTCTAGCTTCTTGCATCATTCTTGGTTTGAAGAGATGCATTGGTTCTACAAGTTCTAGCTTGAGCCTAGCCACATACGCAGAAACTAAATATTTTTCTTGCAATTTTAATCCACTAGTGTTTATAGCCGGTCCCAAGCCCGGGTAAAGGAGGAGGGTTGTGTTAGGCCATCAACAGCCAATGTAAAAATTTGTTGAATCTATCATGAACATGGACAATAGACGTTATAATGTTAATGCTAGGTCGTTGCCCGTAAGTAACGCGCTGCATGGCTCGAGTACAGTGATAAGTGAGTTAGAGCTGCTGCATCGGCGCCCGGATGTAGTGTTAAATGAGCAAGGGCTACCGCGTCATTCTGGACGCACGCGGCTAAAGAAGTTAGTCCATAAGAGCAAAATTAGATTTGGTACTTGGAATGTTGGGACATTAAATTGTAAATCTGTAGAGGTTGTAGGGGTTATGATTCAAAGGAAAATCAATATCCTTTGCTTGCAAGAAACAAAATGGCGTGGAGAAGAAGCTAAGGATATTCAAGGTTTCAAACTTTGGTATACAGGAAAAGTAAGTGCACGCAATGGAATAGGCATCATTATAGATAAGGAGTGGAAGAAGAACGTTGTAGAAGTTAGCAGAATTGGAGACAGAATTATTTCTTTAAAAATGATAATTGGACGTGAGACTGTTAATATTGTTAGCGCTTATGCGCCGCAAGTCGGGACAGAAGCCAGTCTTAAGGAATTATTTTGGGAGGATCTGGAGGGGTTGATTCGACACATACCACAGAGTGAAAAGATTTTTATTGGAGGAGACTTTAATGGGCATGTCGGGAGGGAAGCTGGTCAGTATGCGAGGGTGCATGGTGGTTTTGGTTTTGGAGAGCTAAACAATGAAGGGCAAACTCTTCTTGATTTCTCATTGGCGTATGATTTTAAGATTGCCAACACTTGTTTCAAGAAGAGAGATGAGCATCTCATCACCTACAAAAGTGGAGCCTCAAGGTCGCAGATTGATTTTCTTTTGGTTAGGAACACAGATAGAAAACTTTGTAAAAATTGTAAGGTGATCCCTGGAGATGCTGTAACGACACAACATAGGGTCCTAGTCCTTGATGTGTGTATTATGAGTAAAATCCAAAAACGTCGACAAGTAGTAACACCAAGGATTAGGTGGTGGCAATTAAAAGGTGAGAAGCAAGATATTTTCAAGCGAAATCTTTTGGATAAAGGAATTTGGGATTCTCAGGGAAGTGCTAACATCATATGGGAGGATATGGCTAAAAAGATACGGGAGGTTGCAAAAGTAGTTTTGGGAGAATCGAAAGGTTCTGGTCCGAGAGATAAGGAGTCTTGGTGGTGGAATAATAGTGTACAGGACAAAATCAAGTATAAGAAGAACTGTTTTAAAGCCATACATTTGTGTAACAATGAGGAAAATTGGGAGAGGTACCGTATGGCTAAGAAGGAAACTAAGAGAGCTGTGGGTGAAGCTCGTTCTAAAGCTTTTGAAGAATTTTATAAGAACCTTGAGACGAAGGAAGGAGAGCAAAATATTTATAAGATTGCCAAGAGTAGGGAAAGAAAATCAAGAGATCTAGAACAGGTAAGGTGTATTAAGGATGAAGAGGGAAGAATTTTAGTTACAGATGATGAAATTAAAAATAGATGGGAGACTTATTTTTCTAAACTTTTCAATGATGGAGAGGATTCATCTAGTAACTTGGAGGATTTAGTAACTGGTGAAGGAGAACAAAATTTGTCATTCTATCGAAAAATACGTGATAAGGAGGTAAAGGAAGCTCTTAAGAAAATGGCAAATGGTAGAGCTAACGGACCTGATTGTATATCTATCGAAGCGTGGAAATGTTTAGGTGAAGAAGGGGTGAGATGGTTAACTAAGTTATTTAATGTGATTTTACGGTCCAAGAAAATGCCTGATGAGTGGAGGAGAAGTACATTAATTCCTATTTATAAAAATAAAGGAGATATTCAGAATTGTACTAACTATAGAGGGATTAAACTCATGAGCCACACAATGAAATTGTGGGAGAAAGTAATTGAGCACAGGTTGAGATTGGAGACAAGTATTTCTGAGAATCAATTTGGTTTTATGCCAGGTAGATCAACTACAGAGGCGATTTATCTACTAAGGGGATTAATGGAAAAGTATCGTTGTAAAGATAAAGATCTACACATGGTTTTTATTGATTTGGAAAAAGCTTATGACCGTATACCAAGAGAAGTGCTTTGGAAAGCGTTGGAAAAAAAGGGAGTACGGATTGCTTATATTAAAGCCATACAAGATATGTATGAGGGGGTAAAAACTAGTATAAGAACGCCTAGTGGTCAAACAAAGGATTTTCCTATAAAGATTGGACTACATCAGGGATCATCTCTGAGTCCTTATTTGTTCAACTTGATTTTAAATGTTTTGACGGAACATATTCAAGAGGAAATCCCGAAATGTATGCTTTCGCGGATGATATAGTTCTTATAGCAGAGACAAGAGAAGAGGTTAATTGCAAACTTGAGTTATGGAGGAGGACATTGGAGTCGAAAGGTTTTCGTCTGAGTAGAAGTAAGACGGAATATTTATATTGTAAATTTGATAAAGGACTATTCGAAAATAATTTGGAAGTGAAATTGGGAGATCAAATTATACCTCAAGTGGAAAAGTTTAGATATTTGGGAGCCATTATTCAAAATGATGGCGAAATCAGTGGAGATATTTCACATAGAATTCAAGCTGGGTGGTTTAATTGGAGAAAAGCTAAAGGAGTTATTTGTGACCGTAAGGTGCCTAATAAACTTAAAGGAAAGTTTTATCGTACTGCTATCAGACCGGCAATGTTATATAGTAGTGAATGCTGGGCTCTAACGGGACAGCAAGAGCATAAAGTTGGAGTAGCAGAGATGAGAATGTTACGATGGATGTGCGGACATACACGTAAAGATAAAATTCGAAATGAGCACATACGTGAAAAAGTGAGGGTGGCACCTATTGAGGAAAAAATGGTAGAAAATCGGTTGAGATGGTTTGGGCATGTACAAAGAAGACCAAGGGAGGCACCAGTGAGAAGAGTGGAACATATAACTTTGAGTCCGATTAAGAGAGGTAGAGGAAGGCCTAAGAGAACACTCTTGGAAGTTGTTGAACGTGATCTCTTAATTAATAATATTTCTAAAAGCTTAATAAATGATAGAGCACAATGGCGTCTTGCAATCCATGTAGCCGACCCCACCTAGTGGGATAAAGGCTTGTTGTTGTTGTTGTTGTTTTAATCCACTAGTGTGGCTATCAAAGAATTCATTGAATTCTTTCACACACCCCCATTGATGAAGCCACATCTAGTGGTCATCCTCATAGTTGTGGAATGAATGGTGTGCCATGGCTGAGGATGACTAGCTTTGATGCCACTATTATATCAGCATAATTCTGATATAGAGAGAAATTGAGGGGACAGGGAGAAATGGAGAGAATAACAGAGAAGGTAGAAGAGAGAGAGGAATTAGAGAGAAAGAGAAACAGAGGGACAAGAGGATTAGGCTGAATAGTGCACAAGCTTCATTGATAATTCATAATGATTACAATTGAATTGTAGGGTATTTATATAAATAAGGATACCCCTCAACAGCTAGTAACAGTCTACCTATTAACGGCTATATCCCTTAACAATTATAACTAACCGACTAACAATAACAGCAACTAATATTTCAATATTATGATTATATAACATAGACTAAGGTAGAAGAAAGGAGAAAGGGAGAAAGAAAGGAGGGTGAAGTAAAAGAAAAGGAGTAGATGTCTAACTAAATAACTTATACAAATCATGAAAAAGGTCTAACATCAAACTATCTAGGGCGTGTTTATAGAGCCCTATGTATAGCTATCCAAATAATCAAAATAATCTAAACTAAGATAAGGAAGGGTAATAAGATAAATCCTATATATCCTAGAAAGTTTTAATCCAACTAATTTCATTTAAAAAGTAACCAAGATATCCAAATTAAAATAAGTTTATGTAAATTATCCTAATTATCTTAAACTAGGGATAAAATAACCCTGACATTTCCCCCCTATCAAGACCTGAAAGAATGGTTGTTCAAGGTGGAGAGATCCTTCTCTATGAATGGCATCATTGAAGGAAAGAAGTATGTTGAGGCTGCTAATTTTGGTTTTTTGCCCCTCTTTCTTTTTGGGGGTGCAGATGCCTTAACCCAGTCCTAATGGCTAGAAGCCACAGCACTGATCAGGAATTGGCCATAATTTAAGGAGTTGCTGGACAGGCATCATTGTCACCGGATGGTGATATTTAAGAAAGGTTAATGCCATTGAGAAAGGACGGCTCTGTTGAAAAGTTCAAGGAAATGTTTGAGCTACTATCAGCCCATTGAATGACTTGTATATAGACGCGGTGTTGATGAATGTGAACATTCAAATATATACTGACAGAAGAAATTCAGACTAGAGCTCGTCATTGTGATGGTTGTCTATTGAATATTACCATCTTGCATTTCTGAATAAGAGTTGGTGCTTCCTGAGCTCACGTTCATGGCTCTCACCATTCCAGAAGGGGTCATTCTTCTAGGGTTCAGATCCATGGGTGCTTTTATATCAAGATGAAAACAAGAAGATAATTCTCCGTTCAATTGAATCAATGGACACAAAGCCTTCTAAGCTAGCTTCATAAAACCCTAGAGAATACCCAAGCTGCAGCTGCGAAAGCAAAGATCAAATTCAGGGGAAGAAAAAAGAGAAGATCAATTTAGCTAAAAATATAGGAATCTAAAGAGGTGATTTTTGCTTAATTGAGTACTATATATCTCAAGCTTTAAAAGACCAGAGTTGTAGCATTGGTTTAAGGGTCAATGATTGGACTATGGTCGAACAGAATTTGAATAATTTTTTTTTAATTTTTTATATTAAATATGACATTTTGTAATTTTTTTTTTTCAAAATAAAATTGTTGGATGAGATAAAATAATTTTCTATTCTTTTTATATGAAGTATCATTTTATTAGAAAAAATCTCAGAATATATCTTCAAAAATCACTCTAAATTTGTTTAATATTTAAGAGCTCATATTCATAATTGATGGATACCTAGGCAGGATAGGGAACTTTACTCCAAAGGCTAGTTGTTGAAGTGGGAGAGCAAACCCACTTAAATAGCTCATTGAGCCTCCTATACTGATGTAGGATTTAGTATTCCATACTACCAAGTATATATCAGAATTAGTTGGCTATGTGGAAGAGTATACTCTAGAAGAAAGAAATCCAACCCAAAAAGAGGATGGAACATATCTCATGTATGTCTCGGGAAAAACAAATGGTGCTGGGCCTGACCTGAGAACAAGTATGGGCTGGCTGTGAAGTGGCAGAATAAGCATGATTATTTATATATACTTCTGTCAGGTAGTGCATGGACAAAGGGGAAGAAGAAAGTAGAATGTTATGGAGGGTCAGGAGGGACATAAGGATGCCTCAAAATGCATATACTATTTTAAATGTCTTTACTCTTGTGACTCTAGGAGAACAAACAAAGCTCTAAACGAATCCTTTTATTTGGCTTGGGAAATATAGTTTACATTGAAAAATAAATAATAATATTTAAAGTTGAACAACCTGGTATTCCCAAAAAAAAAAAAAATTGAACAACTATGTTGCTTTTGAGTTTCTTCATGTGTCCCTCTTTAGTAAATTTAATATTTTCAAGTGTCTATTCACCAAGAACGTTTGCCCTTATCATTTGTAGTTTTTGCTTACAAAGTACTTTCCTCATTTATGACCAGGGATGGTGGGATGTCCAGAAAGACAACAATGAATCAAAAGAGTGCTGTGTTTTGCGGGTTTATGTGGATGTTGCATTTTCGAAGAACACTATATGGAAAGGTGTTCAGTTTTCCTTTAGTCTATAGTTTACTCATATATAACCTTGGTTTGTTTGGGTTATCATCTTTTCTCATTATTACCTTATGTTGCACCAAGACTTTGTGGTTTGTAACTTGTTGATGTTCATCCGATATAACATTAAATGGTTCAGATTTATGACATTGTTGCATCTGCTATGATACATTTGTTTTGTAGCCGGTCATATAAGAACATAGAGAAAGTCACATCTTAAATTTTTAAATTGCATAGTAAACAGAGTTGTTAATTACATCTGCTATGTAGCCATTTGGTTTTACATGCTATTCGTGGTAGATGAGTTCATCCTGAATTTATAATGCTTAATTATGATTTCAGCTCAGGATAAATCAAGTCAAAGTTCATATTATATGAACAAGGAACTTTCTTGGATCAAGAGCTTTCTTAGATGGATGTCTAGTGATTTGTAGTTTTACGGGGAAAAAAATGTATGTCATTGAACAATGTCAATGTCTTAATTAGATTCATGATGATGTCTGAGTTTAGCTTCATAGCTGCACTGCAATTGCATGTATAACTGTATGTATAAAACTTTTACATATCTTTTATCTTCTCTTGATCTATGATGCACTATATTTTCTGCATAAATTACATATTTTTGAATCCTTGCATGATATACGTTGTTTAGACTTACATAACTCATTTTTTTCTGCAACAAATAGACACAATTTGCAGACGATCCATTTTAATCTGATGTGATTGTGTCTTCACGAGTTGCCTAGTTTTTATCCCCAATTTTTCACTAGTTTTTGACGACTATAATTTAACCCTCTTTTGTCATAATGATTATTCTTAAAAATAATGTCATTTTCAAGTGTCTGATCTATCTCTGAGGAGATTGACATTCATTTTCACTGAATCTTTAGAAGTTTTCTCAGTGCACATTCTTTCACTCTCACCCGGGCACAATCCCCGTATTTAATGCATTGAGTTCATTTGGATGTGTGCATTGCTTTTAAAGTCATAAATCGAACTATTTATAACTCCAAGTGATTGTAAATAATTGCAGGCAAAATAGTACAGTCAACAATTGAAGAATGCCGAGAAGCTTATGCTACATGGATAAACATGGCAAGTTCATATGATCTGTTAAACATGTTTTTTTGTGTATTCAACAATGTTCTCCACTATTATCTGTGTCTGAGTATCTCTAATTTCATTTCTGTCAGGCTCATGAGTTGTTGAAGCAAAAGAACCTTGAAAAACAAGAAGGTTTGATATTTGCAAAGTTTATTATTTGTCTTATCTGTCAATCCAAAGATTTTGTACTTTTCAAATATTAATTATGATGAAGGTTGAAGTAATTTTCTCTTAATGATGCAGAGAGCGCTCCTACTGCTGGCGGGGCACAAACTAGCGCGGTAAATTTAGATAGTGAACAAATAGCCGGAGGATCTTCAGAGAGTTCACAAGAGCCAAATAACCCTGGAATTCTACCCCTTACATCTGACATCGTTCGTTCTAATCGCAACGTTGACAGCCAGTTGCAAGGAAATCTGATTGACTCAACGTCTATTTCATGCATGTTAAGAGAATGCGTGACAAAGTTCCGGTCTTGTTTAAAAAGTCAGAGCCATCTCTCGCTATTCCTAGTTATCATTTTTGCTGTTATCTTCTTTATGCAGGTGCGTACTTCTTCACTATAATGCTTCAATTAGCCAGCCTTATGTTGCCTTGACTTTTTATGATCCTTCGGGACCCAAAAATAATTCATTGTTAAATAATTTACATTTTCCAGAAAAAGTTGGTTAAAATGTTGATTTTTTAAAAATTTTCACATTTTTCCAGTTATATCCTGAATGGAATATACTAAAATAAGGGTATAATTGGAAAAAAAATATATGAAATTTACCTAATGCCTTGTATTTTGGATCAAGTGGGGTTTTTAGAAAATATTTTATATTGTGGTTCGGAGGGAGTATTATACATAGATTCATGGGACAGTTCTAACCTTTGATTCTGTTGCAGCAGTTTAGCATACTTATACTGTTGTCGAGGCCCCAACAGATCCATGTGAGCACTCCAACAGATTATGTGAATAGGATGGAATATGGAGTGAGCAGAAGCGCTTCAGATATAGCTTGGTTGGAGAAAAGGATTCACTTCCTGAAAGATGAGATGTACATGATTGAGACTAGGCTTGAGAGAATGAGGTACGAGCATGCCCTCTTGAAAAAGCAACTCAAAGATCTAGAGCTAGATAAATAGATCAATGGACACCCACCAAACTTTGATTCATGTAGTTGTTTGTTGCATTCCTTCCTTGTAAATAAGAAAAATGTAATACCTAGGCATGAGAGAGAGGAAAAGTTAAAAAAAAAAAAAATTGTTGCAGCATGCTAGCTGGATTTTCACTCGGCTTTTTGTTGATAGAGAAATTTCTGACTTCGCGGCCAAAAGAGAGCCAAAGGAAGCCTGCAATGTGTAATTTTTTTTTTTAAAGTACAAATGACAGTCCATGGGTTTAAATTTTTGGCTTTTGCTAACTTATCTTGCGTAATGGTTTTTTTTTTTTAAGAAAATTACGGATAGATCCTGTATAATAAATTTATTTACAAATAAATTCAGCCAAGTTGTTTAGAACTTGGGTGTAAATTTGAGATGGGGCATAAAGACAATAATATTCTTGTTAATTTGGCTTTTATTCATAATATATAGTAAAAATTTGTAATTTGTAATTTACAAATCAAATTTCTTGCTTAATGCATCATATAACATGGAGTCTTCACGAGGTTAATTATACCTGTTTAAGGTTATAATTATTGAGTGAATTATGAGTTTTACATTTCAATTAAATCAATTATAGGCTTTAAGTAAGGATAATTAAGTTTATGAATACTTCATGTTATATTAAGTATTAAAAAAGAAATTTGATTTGTGAATTATGAATTTTTACTTATAAATTATTAATTATGAAGTTGCAGTTGTGAGTGAAAGTTAAATTAATTGTCAAAAGTTTTATTAATTAAATTTAGTTTAAAAGTACCTGCAATCTAAATATGTAAATCCTAAATGAGCCCTATTACTTTTCTTACATCCTAATTAGATCAATTGTAGTTTTAAGTTGGTATAATTAATTTTATAAAGATTCCATATATTATATTAAACAAAAAATTTAACTTGTGAACTATGAATTTTTACTTATAAATTGTGAAATTGTAGTTTTAAGTGAATTCCTTAACTGTTAAGAGCTTTATTAATTAAGTCTAATCATACTTTAAACTACTGTAAGCTAAATATATAAATTCCAAATAAGCTTTATTACGTTCCAATTAGGTCAATTATAGTCTTAAGTAGTTAGGTATAATTAACTTTGAGACTTCATTAAATATTACTAAGTGTTAAACAAGAAATGACTTCTGAATTAATAATATTTACTTGTGCATTGTGAAATTATTGTTATAAGTGAAAATAAAATTAATAGTATTATATTTTCACTTCAATATCAAATTACATTCAGAACAAGACTTGTTCATAATTTTTCTTTTTCCCCCCTTTAAAATCCTCCTCAAATTGGATACTCCTTGGGGCTACCGTGTTCATTTTTACAACTACGCGTATGTTCTAATAAGATCATGTCTTGCTGCATTCGTTTTTCCTGTTTTTCCCCCCTTTGAATCATTGCTTTCTATATAAAGTTAGAAAAAAAAAGACATTTTAATGTCTTGAAGACCAAAACGATATATTTTTGTATTTTTTAATGATTTTTCAAAGAAAAATATTAAATTTTATGATATGTTTCTTTTAAAAATTGTAAAAAAAAAAACAAAATTTTACTATTTTAAGATTTCAAGATATCAAAATGTTTCTTTATGAAGAATCTAATGATTAAAGAAAAAAAGAAATTGATGTGAGACATTATAAATGACATTAGAGAGAAGTATATTAGAGGTCTCTAGCCTCTTTCAAAACATGGATACTATTGTTATGAGTCTTTTACCAAGAAATCTCACAAAATAATTTTGGCTTATATGTGTGAGGTACTCTTTTTTATTTTTTTGAATTACTCACAAGTATTTTCTTATAAAAGGTAAATCTTATTTGAGAAAAGGTCAGACACTTAATGTGGGCACATCTTTCTATAATAATTCAAACATTAGATTACTATCTGGTCAAAGATTAGCTCATTTTACTAGATCTAACCCCATTGGTTCACTAGGGTTTTGCTTTTAACTCACTTGTCTGTATAACTATTTTTTCTCTGCTTCTAAAATTTAAATTAACAAATTATTGTACAATGCAGAAACTTATTTTGTCACGAGAGTTGCGTGACCGCACTTCATTGTTAAATCATTTTCATAATAGGGACATACAATTTGGATTATGCAAAAGGAAACGTGACACAAGGAATCTTTATTCTACAGAATCTCTAACAGGTAGTGATGAACAGTTATCTTATTTGAGAGTCCATGCAAATGCGCGGATCGTCCATTATAGTTTTGTCCTTTTATCCTAAATGCAATTTTAAAAAGTAGGACATGTACCCCACGAAAAGTTAGCATAATGATCACTCGATCATTAATTATTGGAAAAATTACATCCAACTATCCAAAGACATTTATTATGAGAAAAGATCAAATAATTCTGAGTTTGCTGTGAATGACCGGCTATGCCTAACTATTTATTTGAATGGAAAGACAAATAAATATAAAGGAAAACTAAAAAAAAAATTCCTTAAAAATAGTAAAAAATTACTGCTTTTGGAAAATTTTTTCCCTAGTTTTTCCTCCTCTTTATTTTCTTCTTTTTCCTTTATCCAAACCAAACATAAAAGCAAAAAGACATAATCACCCTTTATTTTCTTCTTACTTTTCACTGGCTGTGGAAGGTCATTAACAAGTATCCATATACATGTTAATTAACACACCCTTATGTGTTAAATATACATGAATATTTGTTAATTAATGAGTACATATTTGTTGAAACATGTCTCACACATGTCTCTTTTCACAACTAAGCTTTGTCAGATTTGTGCTTGTTAAATACACATAGATACTTGTTAATAATGAATAATGCTTGTTGAAGTAAGCCCCACACTTATTTCTTCTTACAACTAAGACATTTTAGATTTTTAAACTTGTTAATTAACACATGCTTGCTTGTTAAATGCACATAGATAATTATTAATTAATGAATGCATGCTTGTTGAAGCAGGTCGCGCATTTATCCCTTTCTACAACTAACCTTTATTAGATTTTTGAATTTGTTAATTAACACATGCTTGCTTGTTAAATGCATATACACACTTATTAATTATGAATATACGATTGTTGAAGCAAGTAAATGATTTGAAAACTGAAAAATTAATTTGACAATATATTAAAGGGAGAACATTTGCACTGCATGCCCAACTAGAACATTTGCATTAAAGGCCCAATATAATATAAAATTATTCTGCAAGCCTAAAAGTTTCTCTTGCAATTAGTGTTCTGGTGAAAAAATGGAATTGCCCTTTGTGAAATACACAACAAAACGTCTATTTAGATAATTTACACTTGTTAAATAAGATAAAATTACATTATTTAGATGATATTTACAACAACAACTCTGTAAACAAAATTTCAAGTTTATTTATTAACAATAAAACGTTCTTTTATCATTTCACATAGTCAACGCGATTTACATTTGTTGAAGGAGAGAAAATTATAAGTTACTTAGATGAAATTTAGAACAAAAACTTTATAAATAACATTCAAAATCTATTTGTTTACAACAAAATATCTACTTATTTCACATTATTCACATAGTTTACACTTAAGAGAGCAGAGTTCCAATGGCCAGTGACTATGTGATGGGATCTTTTTTTTAAAAAAATATATAAAGGGTAATTATATTTTTTTGGTAACATATTTTAATTATATTGAGGTCTCTTGGTCTTGTAGAGAAATTCAGGATCATTTAATCTTTTTTTTGTAATAAATGTTTTTTGGGAGGTTCTGGATGTGATGTTCACTTAATTATTCTCCAAAATTCCATCTCTGGTGAGGACAAACAGAAGAAACGAAGTGGCTAAGGTTGTTGATTCCGTGAATGAATTGGCTTACTGCAATTTTATCGTTGTCATCAAGGACCACAATTATTCATCTTGTCATGATTCATGCTGTGGTCACTATAGATAATCATATGAATTGATACCAATATATGTTGTCTGCGTGTGTACACTAAAATATGTTACGGCTGTGAAAAGTTCAGGATGAGTTAGATTCCAGAAATTATTCGGAACCAGAACATGTTTTTAAGTTCAAAAAAATTTACAAATGTATTTATAAATACTAACAAAACTTCACATCAATAGTGGAATTCCCTTTTTGCTCAAAAAAAAAAAAAATAGTGGAATTCCCAACTCATGATCTTATAGATTATATATATGGGTCAAATGAATCCTAACTGGACCACAACCTTTATTGGTGTGTATTAAAATTTGTCGGAAGCTAATTTAGTGTGTTTAACTTGTATTGAATCGAGAAATCTAGTTTGTATAGGGCTTTATGTTTTGTCATTTCGTGAGATTAAAAAATTTGTTTGTACTTTTTTTCTTAGAAAAATGAGTTATGTGGTACATGTGGTTAATTAATTTCCTAATTATTAAAACCCATCTTGTGCACCATATGAGAAAAGTTTTCAAATTGTAAACAGTTTGATTTTTATATTAAAATAATTGATGAATATGAATGATTTTGAGTACAACTGATTATGTTTATATTGTATAATTAATTTATAAAATTGATTTGTAAGATTGATTTTAAGCATAATTGAAAATCAGATTAAACCATGATTTTATGAAAATATATCTAAACATCTTATAACATATCAAAATCAATTTTAAACTAAAAATTATGATTTTCTTAAAAAATATCAAACACTCTTATCATATGCTAAAATCAATTATGAACAAAAAATTATATATTCAAACACACTTTTATACATGCCAAAATTAATTGATTATGAATTTAAAATTACAATTATCTCATAAGTTAATTACTATTATCTGCTTTTCATGATTTGAGTTCATAACAGCTTTTGATATATATATATATATATATAAATAAGGGTGTTTGAATATTTTTAAAAAAACCATGATTTAGGTACAATAGTTAAAATTTAAAAACTCAATTGCAAATCATTACTTTATAGTTAGTTGATATTAAAAAAATAATTAATTCTATAAAATTGTAGGGATTTGAGACTCATCTTTCAAAATCTATACTCCTCTAGTTCTATTTATAAAGGAGAGAGAGCATTTATATTGATCTTATTTATAAAACACTTCTATATTTTTATGTCCATATTTACCATTTTGCCTCTATTAAATGTTGAAAAGGTTATTAAATGCTTGAGTGTTTTATTTTAAAGTATGTATATTTAATAGGGTAAATTTAAAAATTTATTGAATTTTTAAACAAAATTAATAAGGTCTAAGGTTTTTTTTATTTCAATAAAACATACTAAAATTAATTTATAAATAGGAT